AGAGCTGCAATTGGCCTCTGGGAGGTGTCCCACAATGCCTGTTCGTGCCTCTCTGGTCATCGGTTTAAACTCCACTGCCCTGCCCTCAGGTGACCAGCCATCATCCCCACCCCATAAATTCCTTTGGAATTTTGAAAGCCCCCTTCCTGTTTGCTCAATGACATGTGCAGTGGTCTCAGCACATCTTTCCAGGTGGCCATGCTTGCTCCATGCATCAGGGGATCCCCTCCTTCGAGCTTTTGAGCTGCTGGACCTTATCAGCATTTGGGGAGAGGAAGCTGTGTCCAGTCCTAGCTGTGCTTCAGCCATAGGAATTATACCACCTATGGGCAGATTTCATGATGCATGACAGAAAGGAGCCATGACTGAGACACATTGCAGTGCAGGGTCAAAGTGAAGGAGCTGTGGAACAAGGTGTGGGAAGCAAACCATTGTTCCAGTGCTGCACCCACGAGCTGCCGGTTCTACAAAGAGCTGGATGCCATACTCGGCAGTGACCCCACTTCCACTGCAAGAGCCACTGGATACTTCGGAGGCTCGCGTGCCAGTCTAAAGTGGACCGAGCCAGGAGGAAGAAATCTTGCACGAGGAGAGGAAGGGGGACCCAGAGGCAGAGGATGACTCAGAGGTCCGAGTTGCATGCAGCCAGGAGCTCTTTCCTACCCCGAGGAAGCTAGCCTGTAACAGCTGTCGGATGCTGGCGAAGTGCAAACAGGAGAGGAGGCCCCTGGTAAGTGGATTTGAGTTTGGGAATTGCTGAAGCGAGTTGGTGGGGGGGGGAGGGGAAGGAGGGTTGCAGAAAGCAGGCTTGTCTCCCACCACCTGCCTAGTCTGAGCAGTGGAACAGGTTGTTGATTGACTCCCTCACTTCATGGGAATCTTCCTCAGATCTCCGGGAAACTCTCATGGAGATACTGGGCAATCTGCTGCCGCAGGTCCTTCGGCAGAGCTGCTCTGTTTCTTGTCCCATTAATGGTAACTTTCCCGTGCCACTGTGCTGTCACAAGGGAGAGTGGGATCATTGCTGCACACAGGCAAGCCGCATAGGGACCAGAGCAGAAGCTGTAGTCTTGGAGAAGACCCTCCCTTGATTCCCTGCTCACCCTCAGCAGCAAGATATCTTCCCTAATGATCACATCCTGTGGAAAGTGTGGGGACAGGAATGATTATCAGCCCCCACCTACCCCCCCAGTGCTGGTTCTCCCCAAGAGCCATGTGCCCTGTGTACAGCAGAGTCTGGGAAGAGTGATTTATCCTGGGGCTACTCACCATTTTGGGGGACTTGTGGTTCATGTGTGCTTGCCTGGGGTCAGCCAGTTAGTGACAGGTGTGTGAATACTGGCTGTGTTTTAAATCACTGAATCAGTGTTCTCTGTGTTGCAGACAATACTGCTTCTGTAAAATGTTGCGTTTAAACTTGAGATGACCTTGGGAGCCCAGCCTCCCTCTCTGTTATCGGCAGCTGAACGGCTGCGCAGCATTAGAAAGCGACGAAGAAGATCTCAGGAGGAATTTCTGCGTGATGTTATGATACACTCCGCCACTGAGAAACAGGAATTGAAGGAGTGGCGGGACAGCGAGAAGAGAGACCAGAAGGAGAACATGACATGCCACAAAGCGGCTCTAAATGGAGTGCCAAGCAGACTCGCTCCAGGCAATACTAGCTCTTCAAACCGAGCAGCTCTGCACCCACCCTCCCCTGCAGCCGCTGTTGCAAAACTCTTTCCCTTGCACCACACACACACCGCCAAAACACTCTTATCAACCTCCTGGCTCCAGTCTATACCCGTGGCTTTCCACTTCTCCCCCCTCACAGTCCAGCACTGCAGACTCACGCTACCCACTACACTCAACACCCATCCCTCTGCAGTTTGGCCCTGCTGAAGTACAGTACCTGCTGCATTGTACTCCAAAGGAGAAGGTTGGATATGATACTTGGACATACACAAATCTGTAGCTGTCCTGTGACCCCTCCTCCTCCTGGGACCTTCCCTTCCCTCATCCCCCTCAGTGCTGATTTTTTTTGTTTGTTGTTTCTCTCTCTCTCTCCTCCGGTTGTTGTCTTTTAATAAAATAGTGTTGGTTTGAAAGCAATCTTTGTTCTATTAATTGAAAGCAAAATGAGCCCTGCAAAGCAACATACAATTATGTTAAACCCACATCTTGTGCACCAAACACCAACTAGCATAAGCACTACACTCCAGAGCATAGCTATAAATATTAGTGGCTTTCAGCTTCAAATTGCTGCCTCAAGGCATCCCTGATCCTTATGGCCCTGCGCTGCACCCCTGTAATAGCCCTGGTCTCTGGCTGTTCAAACTCTGCCTTCCAGGCTCTGAGCCTCTGCGGTCCAGCCCTGAGTGAAGCTTTCACCTTTCCCTTCACAAATATTATGGAGCATACAGGGCCAGCGGGCTTTTAAAGGGCCAAAAGCAGACTCCACAGTCATTCTGCACTTGCTCAGCCTGTTGAACTGCTCCTTGCTGCTGTCAAGGTGCCCTGTGTATGGCTTCATAAGCCACGGCATTAAGGGGTAGCCAGGGTCTCCCAGTATCACAATGGGCATTTGGACTTCCTCTATGGTGATCTTCTGGTAGGGGAAGAAATTCCCTGCTTGCAGCTTCTTGAACAGGCCAGTGTGCTGAAAGATGTGTGTCATGCACCTTTCCAAACCACACAAGTGCCTGGAGAACCATTAAGAAATACCCTGTGCAATTAATGTGCTACGTGGTCTGGTGTCATAATTGAAATATGCGTGCCATCTGTGGCCCCTCCACAGTTAGGGAAGCCCATTTGTACAAAGCCATCCACAATGTCACGACACCACAAGAGTCAGTCTTTTGGCGCAGGATGCGATTAATGGCCCTGCACACTTCCGTGAACACAAGTCCAACATCAACTTTCCCACTCCGAACTTGTTAGCTACCGATCAGTAGACGTCTGGAGTAGCCAGCCTCCACAGTGCAGTCGCCACACGCTTCTCCAGCGGTAGGGCAGTTCTCATTCTCATGTCCTTGCATCACAGGGCTGGGGCGAGCTCATCACACAGTCCCTTGACTTTCCCATGTGGCTTTCCTCTGCAATTCTCCAGCCACTGATCATCATCATCACAGACGTGCATGATGTGATCCCACCATTCAGTGTTTGTTTCCTGAGCCCAAAGGCGGCGTTCCACTGTGGTTAGTACCTCCATGAATGCCGCAAGCAATCTCGTGTCGTAGCTACTACACATGGCGAGATCAGTGTCGCACTCCTCTTGCTTTTGTAGTTTAGGGAATAACTTCACAGCCATTTGTGACGTGTTGGTCATAGTGAGCAGCATACTGGTCAACAGTTCGGGATCCATTCTTGCAGCTTGAAGAGGCAGGGCGCGCAATACAGAAACCGTTGAAAGATGGCACCAAATGTGGATGAAAGCACAGGGATTGCTGGGATGCGAAGCAATGCATCACGAGGCACTGGGACATGGCCCAGGATGCCCCGTGACCCCCTCCGCCTTCCCACAACTCTTAGCAGCAGAAGAGGTGCTCTGGGGTATAGCTGCCCAGAGTGCACCACTCTGAATACCACTGCAAGTGCCACAAGTGTGAACATGCTATTGTGCAGGCAGCAGACAGTGTGAACACACAACAGCGGTTTCTCTTCAGTGCGCTCTGAGCGGTGCTGTAACTCTGCCAGTATAGACGTGCCCAAGGAAGCCTTAGCCATGTCTACGCTACCACCTGAGCGATATAAATGTTATCAGCATAAGTGGTAGTGTGCACGGCACTACATTGACTGGAGAGCTGCTCCTGCTGACATAGCTACCGCTGCTCATTGAGGTGGTTTTATTTCAACAGGAGAGCTTTCTCCTGTTGGCATAGAGCAGCTACACAAGCAATCTTACAGCAGCACAGCATCATCAGTACAGCTATGCCACTCTGAATTCACTTGTGTGGATGTGGCCTTGCAGCTGGAGAAACTCTGGTAGCATGATCCTGACACACACACAAATAAAATGCAGAGAGCTTTTGGGTGAAGTGCTGGTTGGAAATAGACCTGGAACTGTGAGCAAAGCAACTGTCTCCTGCTGTTTGATTATTCCTGTTGTATTCAGGGATATAAGACTTCCTGCATTCTTTGTAAATAACAAGGTTGTGTTTTTATTAAAAATAATAAAAAAAACTGACCAATCATTAATTTCTCCTGCTAACCAAAATAACCCAGTAGGCTTTGAAAATGGGCTAACCAGTCAAGTTGGCAAGGGATACCAGTAATTACTTCCTTGTCTCGGAGGTGTCCAACTATTATCCCATTTTGTATATAGTGAAACCTAAGATTAAATGACTCGTCCAAGGGCACATAGGAAGGCTGTGCTGGAGTGGGCTAGCACTCTAACCACTGTATCCTCTTCGCTCATAAATGAGTTTCTTAATGTGTCTAACTTCTTTTCCTTCTCAGGACTTTTTTTTTTTTCTATAGTTTTTGTGGTAGAGTGACTAGAAATGGAGCTTGATAGATGAGGGTGTATTTTTTTTTCATAAAATCACTTTTTAAAATGCAATGGTGTGTGTTTGATTTTTTTTCTTTTAATTTTTTTTTTAACCACTTTTCGGAATGATGCCCAAATGTCTTCCCGGGTGGCTACATTTAATGTAGAATGCAATAACGCATGAGTAGTTCAAAACTTTAAACTCAAAACTAATTTCACATTTACTGTATTTGTTACAAATCCATCTTTAGAATTTGATTTAATCATTTGGTACTTGTAATTGCTCATATTTTCAAGGTTGCCAAACAAATAAATGTTTAGGAAGACTTGTCTTAAAAGGACCGATCTTCCAAAAGAATTGAACTCCTAATTTAGATTATGTATGAAGTAAGGTGAGGAGGACTGTTGTTTATCCCTAGCTCTTAACTAATCAAGGCAAGCACTATATATCTGTTGCTTTATAAGCAACAGATCTTTTCAATTAACAGTTGAGTGAGCTTAAGCTCAATTTTTTTTTATTTTTTTTTAGGTCTACCTTTACTTGTTCAAAGAACAATTGCAAGGACTATCATACTTCAAGAAAGCATTGGGAAAGGTCGCTTTGGAGAAGTCTGGCGAGGGAAATGGAGAGGAGAAGAAGTTGCAGTGAAGATATTCTCTTCAAGAGAAGAACGCTCATGGTTTCGTGAGGCAGAAATTTATCAAACTGTTATGCTACGTCATGAAAATATCCTTGGATTTATAGCGGCAGACAATAAAGGTAAGCTTTTGATAACTTTTCACTTTTTATTGATTATATATGTACTCCTATTTCAAACTCTTCATGAGAATTGAAAATACAAATGCCACTTTCTGGACATTTCATGTTCTTTGATGCTTGTGGAAAGGTTGCTGCAGTGTAATTGAGGATTACATGTGAGGGTTTTTTTTAATGAAATTTGTTTGTTTTTTAACTTTTTAATGACTGGTCATACAATTTACCTCAAAAAACAAACAATTGACTGAGATCTCAAAACTAGGCAGCACACTATGTATAACCTGCACACAGACATACTAAGCCTCATTTAAATGGAATTGTCTTGTCTAGTCAACTCAGTTTTATATAGTTACTGAACCATTTCTGTAAATCTGCTTGTCATATGGTCAATATGCATATTTTTGTGCTCTAACTTTCTGCTACATTCAAAACTCATCTGGGCAACAGCCATGATTGCATCAACAATTCACTGCACTCCCAGCAAGCTGTTTAGCTTCCACTCCTTCTTATCTTGTGACAAGTTAAGCAATTACTCCCCCGAATAAGATTTTACTCCTTTTTAATTCAATTTTACTACCACAGTTACATATGGAGTAGTATACTAGTTCCAGTTGAGCTCTGCTGTCCCTTTCCTTTATATAGTATAATATGACTGTATCTGTAATTAAACAGTCAGCTCCTGTAACTTAAGTAAAAGTCACACCCTAAAAATTGACAAGGAAGTTTTGGCTTTCAAGGGATGGGCAGCCTTCTATTTTGGGAAGGTGTGTAGACCTAATCCAGCTATGACTTAGATTTTATTTAAGCATTACTAGAAGATTTTAACATTTAACTTCTCAGACTTGCAAAAACACCCAAGTCAAACAGTTCCTATCTTTTTCTTGGGAATAGATTTTTTTTTTTTTCTTTTTTTCCCCCTGTTGATGGGCAATATCAACATAGCATTTTCCATAGTTGTCCTAGAATTAGTCAAAGCCCGATGCTAAATGTACCAAATACTAAAATGTCCCTAACATATCCTATCAAATTAGTTTCCCTAAGGAAAACTGAAGTGTACAAAGTTTGCTTAGAGTTCATCAATATGTTTTTCAGAACCTGCATTCAGTTTGTCAAACGTATGTGAAAGTCCTTCACTTAAAATTTGGAAGGGTGAAGAGACCATTGCAAGTGAGGGACCTCTCATAATAAGAGTACAGACCATTCAGAAGTATTTAGAAAAAGAAATGGAGAATTTTAAAATAGTTTTAACTACAAGAACACATGCAAGCCCTTTGGGGGTGGGGTGTGTGTGTGTGTGTGTGTGAAGAATATTAGTGTGCTTCAGACCAAATTGGTCTGAACCTCTACATGACTAATTACATAGATTAACCTTCTCATCATTCATTCTACCTTCTTCTGATGTACTGCTAATGATGAAATATATATATTTTTCATCAGAAGAAGGTAGAATGATAAGGATGGAGAGAGAGAGATAGAGGGGTGTGTGTGTGTGTGTGTGTGTGTGTAATATATAATATAAAAATAAAAAGCTTGCAAATATTTTCTGTGTTGTGAAAAGTAGGTCCAAGGTCAATAAATCTAACCATTAACCACCTCCCACCCCGAAAGAAGCTTGTGCCTCTGAGCGGAGATTTCATGTAGCAGTGTTACTCATGCTCCGCACTTTTGTATAATGCTGTGCTGGCCTTCAGTTCCTTCTAAATTGCCTCCACTTGAGACCGAGTCTTAGCAGTTGTTCATGTTGAGTTTAGCTCAGCTGTGCCCCCATAGCTCTTATAGTAGTTTATTTTAGTAGTAGTACTAGCTGTAGTTGTTTAAAACTATCAGTTTAAAAAAAAATTAAGTTTTAAGGATTGTTACCTCCTGGATAGTTTCTCCCCTCCTTAGAGCTTTGTTACTGGAAGGGCATGCATGCCCAGTTCTGCCTATCGTCTTGGGAGGCAATCCTGGTATGTGATGAACACTCCTGGTGCATCTTTTGCTTCAGGGAACTTCATGTTTCCAAAAAGTGCCTTTGGTCTAGCATGAAAATCTAGAGCCAGAAAAAACAGGGAGATCAAATTTTGGTTCCTCATGATGAAGAGCTTGCTGCACCCAGTCTCTGACCCTGGCCAGGGTACCCCCTTATATGCTGGTCTTCAAATAAGTCTGCTACCTCTACTGTCTCCGAGCCGCACTCCTCGAGGACATTTATGAGAGGAGTCTTGGGTTTTCCTCTTTGGACTTCCATAGGCCATGCCCAAAGTTCTCCAGGTAGGAATCTGCCTCAGAGAAGTCAGTTGCTGATAAGTCCAGCCACTTCGGCACCCATCAGACTCTGACCTGGTACCCACGAGGCTGATGGTTCCTCAGGTACCCAGGGTACTGTTAAGCCTAAAGATTTCAAAATGTCAGTCTCTGATAGGCCACCAGTACCATCAGGGGAACGGGGCATCACAAAGAGCTCTACTGCTACTCACTGAGTACTGAAGAAGATTGCATGGGCTCCATCTGTACTCCACTCAGAGCATTAGAGACTCACGGTACCATCAGCTCCCTCAGCTACCATTACTTTGGCTCACGCCATGAACATGATACTAACCACACTCCAGTACCACAGGAGTTTCATTTTTTTTTTTTAAAGACCTAACCATGTCCAAGATGCCCAAATCACCACTGCTCAGCTTCAGTCATCTTTTGGCACCAATGTCCTCCAGATCCCTGGACACCTGTCCAGTACTGACCGTTTTAGCTCAAGTTTCTTCTGGTGCTCCACCACTTCATCAGAATCGTCCTCTTCTAAATCACTCTGAAGATCTTGACTTGGTCTCTCAAATATCTGTCCAAGACTCTCCTCTCCATCTCTATAGAAGCTCTCTTCCAGAGGGCTTTGAGGAAATTGAAATCACTTGTGAGAGATGTCCACAATCTTGCTGGTATCAGCACCCATGGATATCTCCACCCATGCCATGTGCACCACCCACTTGGCCATACTGGGACCCTTGGGTGACCTATCATCAGCAATTAACTAGTGCCTCAAGCACTACCCATCTCAGATATAGACAACCTCCATCGCCCTCCTTATCTAGGAGACCAGAACTTCAGGAAGAAACCTCTTGAGGAACAGGAAACTTGGGCTGATGAAGGGGTCTCTCCACCAGTCAACATCTCTTCTTCCTGCCTGGATGAAGCAGTTCTGCAACCCCTACCATCTGTGGCTGCTGATGTCCTGGAACCGCCAGAGTTTAGTAAGAGTTGCAGATTCTTTGCAGATCTCTTGAGGAGATTAAAGAACCACATCATAAGCTGCCTGACATCCTTTATACAGCTTCATCTGCTCACATTCCCCTGCCTGTTATCCTTTGTAGAGTCCAGGAGGGCCTTGTTATCTGGCACACTCTGACCACAATTTTGCCAATGTGCAAGACAGTGGATAAAAATATTATGTCCCCCTTTAAGGGCTCAACATTTTTATTTTCTCGTCCCTCTAACTCCTTGGTGGTCAAGGTGGATAACAAATGTGGAAGGCAACACCATACTATATCTACACCCTATGATAAAGATCATAAGCACTTCGACCTGTTGAGCAGAAAAATCATATTTGGCATCTACTTTACAATTTAGAATTCCCAGCAACCAGACATTGATGGCAAAGTACAACATATAGATTATACCGAGCTGAACTTTGAGTGTTTTATCAGCAGAACACAGAGATCAGTTCTAGGCAATAATTGCAGAAGGCCAACTGCTCACCAGAATATCTCTGCACAGTGGCATAGCCAGGTTCTAACATCAGGGGGAGCGAACACATAAAAAAAGGCGCCACCCGCCGCCATATCAAATTACTAGTTACATACTTAAAATTTGTTATACATATTTATTTTTTACTTAAAATAAAAACAAGAATGGTATTGTTTTATAAGTGTTATTTTGCATTTAAAATATAAAAAAGGTTTACAGTATTGTATATAAAATCAAAACATGACACGTTATTTACTTATTTTATATTTCAAAGATAAGATCAAAACAATATGATCTATGAAGCAACTAAAACAGCCTCTTTCGTCTAAGCTTCATTCTAGCAAAGTTATCTATTACTTTATTATAATCTACTTCAGTAGCCAATTGTCTTTCAATGGAGAGCAAAACTAACCCAGACAATCTATCTTCACCCATTGTAGAGCGCAGGTAGGACTTTAAGTTTAAGTCGGGTAAAGGATCGTTCTGCAACTGTGCTATTTATTGTCAAGGTCAGAAAAATGTGGTACAATCTCGAAGGATTAGGATAAATGGTGAGGTAATAGGGGGCGGGGTAATATATATCAAAGTGGGTGAGGTAAAATATTTTTTTTTATTGGACCAGCTTCTGTTGGTGAGAGAGACAAGCTTTGAGCTTTCACAGAACTCTTCTTCAGGAAGAAAGAACTCCATGAAAGCTCCAAAGCTTGTGTCTCTCTCACCAACAAAAGTTGCTCCAATAAAAGATATTCCCTCACCCACCTTGTGACTCTAATTTCCTGGGAACAGGTCTACACCAACACAGCATACAAAAATGCAAGATTCACATGAACAGCACAGAGTGACCACCATCACACCAGGACACTATTTTCACGATCATCACACCAAGGAAGTAGCACCAGCACAATGAGATAAATAGAGCCACATGTGCATGCCAAAAATTCACAGTACAAGCACACTGGGATCCACACAGCAGGATAGTGATCTCAGTCTGAGTCCATCCCCACTAAACTGAGTCCAAAGGTTCAGCTAAACACAAGGGAACCTGCAAATAGCTGTACTAACAGCAGGCTCTACACTGGCACAATAGGAGGAGTTGCAGGGCACTAATTCCCAATCCCAGTGCAAGGCAATATGGGATCCAGGTCCTTAGAACCAGAATTTGTACTCACAGGAGAGTGGGATGAAATTAGAGACGTTACAGAAGGCAATTCCCAAGAAACAAGGCACTTGACCAAATGGCTGGGGGGATGTTAAACAACCATCACCAGCCATTGTGTGCAAAG